TACAAAAATACAGAATGTTATACATCGCGTCCGAAATTGCACCGTACTGTAGTACTTCGTCAGATCACAGGTTTGAAAAACATACTGTATACTGTGAAATAAATAAATAAATAATTCCCTTTTTACATTCATTATTACTTATATAAATATAGTACACTGTTTAATGTAGTGAGGGTGTAGATCACTCAAAAAAGTGTTATTTAGTGTAGATGTGTATAAGAGACAGGTATATTGGCTTAAGATAAGAAATTTTGTTTCATTGCTCTATGACATCGTGGAAATCACATTTTTCGTGAAATTTTCGGGATATTAAAAAAAATCGGGAGATATTAATAAAAATCGGGAGGGCGGGAGACGGCCCCCAAAATCGGGAGAAACCCGCAATTCTCGGGAGAATTGGGATCTCTGGCTTCTTGACCATGTTTATATCTTAAATCTTGAAAGAATTTCATTTAGCTTCAGGAATTGTATAGCTGACAAATTTTTGTTTTTGTAAATCTAAATTTTAAACGGAGTACTTACTCAGAACATTTCGATCCTTATCAGAGATCTTTATCTGACAGCTAGGTGTTATTTAGCTTGGTCCTGACGTCATCTGTTGATGATATCGTACACCTCCTCCGGATGTAGGTCGAAGGTTCGTCATCTATACAATTCCTGAAGCTAAATGAAATTCTTTCAAGTCTTAAAATTTCGTTTTGTTTTCATCTTAGACTCACTTTTTTAAATTGTTTTACACTTTTTTACTTAGATTGTCCGCTGCCAAAATGGAGTCCACCTGAATGTGAGATGGATTGTCCCGTGTGTTATAACAGTGGAGTTTGTGACGACAAGTCCGGTCAATGTATTTGCCCCGCAGGCTTCAAAGGAGAATACTGCCAAACATGTAGGCCTACAATTAAATTGAATTTAGATTTTAGTACTCGGTAAAACATTTTTTTTTCAATAGTGAATATATGAGAAATCTTAAAAGAATATTTATATGTCTTCCTATAAAATAAATTCATGATCCTAATATTGTAAGCATTTTTCTTCATAAAGTGTGTTATGTCATAACACACTTCATAAAGTGTGTTATTTTTTTTTTCGGTTTTCTGCTTTTTTTTTTACATTTTTCATTTATTTTTTTTTTTAAATTTTTTTTTTTTTTTTTTGTGTAGCTTGTGGAAGCAATAACTGGGGTCGTGATTGTGATGTTGTTTGTTCAACTGGAAATGATGAAGCTTGTAAAGGAAAGCTTTTTTGTCCTCCTGATCCATTCGGATGCACCTGCATCGACGGATATGGAGGCAATGATTGCAATACAGGTTTGATAAGTTTTTGGCCACTGTTTATAACCATATTGTTCTTTTTGTTCATCTAGGATCCTAGAAGCCTATAATGGTGTTAGTATTACCAGGGCCGTATCCAGCTTTCTGAATGGGTTGGGGGGGTTGGTTTTGTGAGCGAAGCGAGCAACTAGACTGGGGGCCAGGGGCCGCCAATGGCATTTTTACGTTGTAATAATTTTATTGTGTTAATCTCTATACCCAGTCCGATAAAATGCAACTTCAGTGAACACAGCGATATCCAAATATTACTACCGTACTCGCACGAATAAGCGCCCCGTTTGAATAACCGCCACTTCTAATGTGAAAATTTCCTTAAGTGCCCTGTTTGAATAAGCGCCCCCTCATAAGATTTTTCTTTTTAGCAAGTCAATAATCCAATCAATCCTGGGACTGTGGTTGTTGGCATGATTTGAGCTATAGAGTGGAAACACATTCTTCTTTATAGTCAATATCAAAATAAAGATATTTCTCTTGGACAGATAACCACTACCCACCACTAATTGCATCTGCTATTTTGCTGGTATGTAAATATTCACACATTCTTGTTATGAGCCATGTTCTCTGGACGATTATCTTTTCTAACCACCATTCGTAATGTCATATAATCTTTTTTTCATTCAAAAAGTGCCTCTTAAATTTTAATTATTAAAATAATTTCCCATAAGAACCCCTCGATTCTCATCTATCTCCATAAGCGCCCCCTCAATTTTCACTTGGTTTTCATAAGCACCTCGTTGAAATAAGCGCCCCGTTTGAATAAGCGCCCCGTTTGAATAAGCGCCCCTCAGAAAGTGCAAAAAATATTTTAAGCGCTTGGGCGCTTATTCACGCGAGTACGGTAATTGAGGACATGGGGAAACAAACAAGTATTTCTCAATTTAAAAAATAACACTGTAATTGTAAAAAAACATATATTAAATACCAGATTTTATTCACTGAGTAGACCACCCGCACATTGGATACAACAAATGTAGAACCACTATCATAATACAAGTAACGTTGTACTTTTTAACAGCAACATTCACTTATGTAATCAACTAACACAGAGTGCTTGTTTATCATGATTATTTTTATAAATCACATAAAATGAACATTACTCAAAAAATTATTCTTATATTGCAAAATTTAAAAAGAAAAGAAAAACATATTAAAAATTCTTTACAATAATAATGTATCCAAAAATGGGATGTTACGATATATTATACCAAGCTGATGTTGGCATCTCTGATGGATACATGTTACTTTTATATGAACACATTTTATAAGAACACTGAGGCTAAAATCGCTTTGAAATTAAGCTTATGATAAGGACAAATTGAGGCTGAGGTAAAATGTCATATTTGCAGCAGCTGCTATATAATACCCTCTATAATACAGTACAGTTGTATACTGCTCTACAATGATAATTTTGTATGCTCGAAAAGTGTGTAAAACTAAAAAGAAAATAAGAACAATTAAAGAATGAAATCGGCAAAAAATCCACTGTACTTCTGATGTCGACTTAGCAGTTTGTAATCAACAAAAAAGGATATCCTTAGTTGGTTAAAGTAATACAGTACACTTTTTTTTTTATAAGAACACATTTTATAAGAACACTGAGGCTGACATCGCTTAAAAATTAAGAACAAAGTATGAACAAATTAAGGCTGAGGTACTGTAAAATGTCTGTAATAGGATTAATTCATTTTATGATTCAGGGAACAATTGAATAGCATAATGATATTACAGTATATATTACTACTACTGCATGCCTATACATGCTTTATTATATTTCCACTTTGAGGAATCAATCCAAAATCAGAGCAATGAAAAAAAACTCATGTAATGGATAGAGGACCGCAATTAAAAAAATAAATTGCACAAGCCCAGGACACAAGCAATTAACCACATTAAGGGTCTACTCTGCATATATTTTAATTTTAAAAAAAGATAAACAAAACACTGTTGCTCGTCACATGTGTTACGTGATGGCCCGTTTGGCAGCCCATAGTTATGAGGTCACATTCCTCGTACGTTGAGGTAGGCTGAGGCTATCGGCACTGCCGCAGTGCGAAAAAAAGCTGCTGTTTTCTATCGGCACTGCCGCAGTGCCAAAAAGCTGCTGTTTTCTATCGGCACTGCCGCAGTGCCAAAAAAGCTGCTGTTTTCTATCGGCACTGCCACAGTGCGAAAAAAGCTGTTATTTTCTATCGGCATTATTGCCGCAATGCGAAAAAAGCTCCGATTTTCTATCGGCACTGCCGCAGTGCCAAAACACTGCAGTTTTCTATCGGCACTGCCACTCAAAAAGCTGCTGTTTAATTATCAAATGGATGTTTTTATCTATAGATTATGGTATCAATAATTGGTTAGGTCTAGCCTAGCCTATAATATTGCAGTGCTCGCAGAATTATGAAATATTAGGTTGCCCTTCGGGCAACCAATATCTCAAATTTGGTTGCCCTCACAATTTTTTACTTGCCCACCCCCTATTTTGAATTATTTTATGACATTATTCAATTAACTCAAAGAATTGCAAATACACGAAAGAAAAAGTCTGAACAAATCATATGTATAAATGTACTGTACTTTAATAACTTATTGATTATTTCTTATATGAACATTGAAAAAAGAGAAACACAGAGACTATTTAAATAAAGCAAATCCAGGTGAAGTTAAAGTATCATATATTCTACAAAAGTAGCTGGGAGAAACAACATTGGATTAAGACCCAAGAATGAAGCCAAAAACTTTCGGCATATTTGGAGATAAGCATTTTCTGCAGATAGGTTTTTGGAGTATGGAAGTGCGACAAGTTTTCTTCGCGGTACACCGCAAAGTATAATTGTAAACAATCACCAAGTGTAGTTTAATGTCAGTGTCAAATTTATACGATCGGGATCGAGATGGGCCTTGCCACAAAGGCAAATTAATTAAATATTTAATATTTATTTTACCCAGCAGCATCGTCGGTATCGTAAGTTGACGACGGCTTGAAACATTTTAGAAACTCATGTTATCATAGAAAGGACAGCAGTGTGAAGCGTTCGCAATGAAAATCAAAATAAAAGTGACTAGGCCTAGACTAAGAAAATATGCAGAGTTTATCTCCTGTTTAGCAGTATCAGCGGTGCCTACAAAAACTTTCGGCATCTTCGAAGATAAGCATTCATTTCATCCAGATAGGGTTTTGGAGAAGAAGTGTGGAGTTTTCTTCGCGGTACACCGCAGTCAAATTGTAAACAATCATCAAGCGTAGTTTAAAGCCCCATTCCCGGCAAAATTTCAATTTTTAAGAAAAATCTAATTTTTGTATATAATGTTATAAAGATTTATGAATATAATACGGAATTGCTAGTTTAACTGAATTTAGACATTCCTAAGAATGAAAAAAATGTGAAA